TAATAAATAAAAAAGTGTAAAATAACATTTATAATTGAACTTATATTTTAAAGGGACTTTTATTGGAATTATTTCGCGTAGTTGCTGGCACACTTCAAATTGACGAGCATAAAAATCGTATTCAAAGTGAAAAATTACATTTTTTAAAAAACAGTTCGAAAAAAAATGCCACAAATGAAAACGAAACCATTACAAGACTTAGTTTGAACGATTCAGTTGATGGAATTTATGTAGAGAATCGATATAAGCATTTTAAGCATTTTGTTAACTTACTGAGCTTACGGGCAAAGGCATTGGGAATGGAAGGAAGAAATATTCAAGGCATGGAGATTAATGAAATGAAGAATTTTGTGAAGAAGTTGCCAAAGGTCACATCACAGAAAAAAGAGCTATTTAAGCACTTGATATTGTGCGAAAATATCGTAAATGAAATCGGTACTAATTTTTCTCTTATTTTTTTTACAAAATAATCGTATATAATTGCTTTTTTCAGGTAGTAATTTCGAATTGTCACAAACAATTGAAGAATCGATGCTTTACAATCGGAATAAAAAACAGACTTTTCAGAAAATTTTGGAACTTTTGACTACAGACGCGCATCGATACAATTCACTACGTTTCATTTGTTTATTGCATTTAACGTGTGGACTGAATGCAGATGAAGCAGCAACATTCATGACAAATTATTTGAATGCTTTCGGATATCAACATTTTCCCATTTTTGGTCATTTAGGGGTTGCCAAACTCTACCCTTCCTTCAATAATTCAGCAAAGACCAAGGTATTCAATATCTCTTTTCCCATGATTCAGAATGCATTTCAAATTGAAGCAAATCGCATGAAACTATTGCCGGGTAATATTGATGGCCGTCGAGATCCAGTCGACTCTTCTTTCGTTTTTAATGGATCATATATTCCTTTCATTGCTCAATTGTTAAACGTTTTGTGCAGTGCATCCAAAATAGATGATTTTGCTGAAAAATTTGGACAAACTGAACATATTTTATTTTATCGATTCTATCAACAACATCTTGAGCTAGGGACCAAGGAAATGATGTCTGCAATTAAAAAGGGTGAAATTTCGGACATTTTTCCACTTAGGTCGAGAACAATTAGTATCTAATTCCTATCTATCTAATAACTATACCTATCTAACTAACTAGTATCTAACTCTATCTCCACTTAGGTCGAGAACAATTTTTTGTTTTGTTATTGGTGGAATTACTTGCGGTGAACTTGCGGCAATTCATTTTATAGAAAGGCAATTCATTTTATTCATTTATTGCGGCAATTCATTTTATTCATTTATTTCATTTTATAGAATGACCGGCTCAAAAATTGTAGTTGCATCCGACTGCATTTCTTCGGGAACCGATTTTGTTGAAGCTGCATTTTTTTGAGAAAAAAATTCAAATGTCCTTTTTGGAAATTGTTAAATAAAGTTACGATTCTTCAAATTTTGTTTTTTGTTACTTTTAAATTACTTGAAAAAAAAAAAATAGTATTACAATAAACTTAAAAAATCTTTTGAAATTTGTTTCCCTTCTCCAGACATAGTCTTTCTTTCGCTTGCACTCAAGGGACAGATCAACTTTAAATTGAAATTTATTTCGATCTATTCACTCACCAACCATTACAAATCAAATTATTCAAAAATAAAGAGAATTACGTACGCAAGCTGACTTTTCCGCATGGAACCGAAATTTTGGGAATAAACTGAAATCATGGTCTTTGTATGGTTGCAGTAACTTAAATTACCGTGAAAACTTGTGAATATTATTTTCTTATCAAAATAAATAATCACACCAAGTTTAAAGAAATGTCAATCCAAAAAATAGCCTGTTCAAAGTTTCAGATCATTACGGTACCACAAAGGCAAGTCTTTCATACAAAAATGAAACTTTTTGTGGATTTTTGTATGAAAAGTGTGTGAAAAATCGATTGCATCTTAAAACTAACATCAGATTCGGGTTTCTCCCCCCACTACACATTCATTCAGCGTTCAAATTGAAAGAATATCATTTTAAGGCATTTTTCTCATAAGTGCCTCTTCAGAGTCTAAGTTTTACACCGATCAATCAATGTCGTTGAAAATTTGACCAGATTTATTCCTCGTAGTGCCCAATCATCCCGTGAAGTCACATTTTGAATTTCATGTCTGAGCACGAAACCATCGTGTCACCAAAATGGTTGAGAAATGATCAAAAATGTATGGATGTGGGATTGTGGGTACTCCATTCGGACCAAAAAAAATTACACCGGTCAACAGATATTGCTCAAAAACTAATCAGCACGTCTCCTAGTAGTCCCAAATCATCCTGCAAAGTCAGAATTTGAATTGAGTCTTTGGAAGAGGATTTATCGTGTTAACAAATTTAGGCAACACGCCACAGGACACAGGACACATCACACACAGCGACGCACATTAATATGCCCTAAAATCATCTCCAATCGTGTTTTCTACATTAAATATGCATAGAAAACATGTTTTGGGATGACTTTAATTTTTTGGCCTAATACAATACCTTCCCTACACTAGGTGTGCGGAAAAGTAAAATACTACTTACTCAGCCATAGACTAGTGGTTAGCGTGCCAGGTTTGTGAGCGTGAGGACACGAGTTCGATTCTCGGTCAAATTTGGTCCGGTATTTTTCCACCGTGATTCGCTCAGGAATTATCAGTGGTTTTATGCGGAATAGATTTGGCCGGGTTTCGGGCTAGTGGAGTGCTTCGGAGGGCACTTAAAGCCGTCGGTCCCGTGTGTGTGCACAACAAATAATGGGTTCAGCATAGACACACGTAAAATGGAGTGCCTTTACGTTAGGTTGATGTCTTGGATATGTCAAATATTCAATACGTCAACCGTAAAAAGGTAGTGCGACATCTCTGGTGAATATACCGGTAAACCAGCGATATGTGCATTCCTCCATTGAAATATGATGAGCCCAACGCCATCTAGGAATGAATGGAATACTTGTGACTGTCACGACAATTGACTTGAGAAGAAAGCCCTGGTCACTGGTCCTGTACGGAGGCTAGTTACATGGCTGCTATAAAGTGGGCCACACCGTGGGAAGCATTCTCCAAGCAATCGAGTGACAGCACAAGTCGGGTCGTCATGCAATAAGTTACGAAACTTGAGCATCGAA